TCTCTGCCGGGGCTGCGTCCTCAGCTCTCAAAGCGCTTGTCACATCACATCGTTGCGGCTGGAAACCCCGACGCTCCCAGGCCACCTGAATTTTGCACAGAACTACGTCAGTTCTCGAAGCATGTGAACCAAAAAAAAAATTTTTAAACCAATAATAACAAACCAACTGTATTGTATTTGCATTGTTTATAGCACTGATTAATGGTGATTTTGGGGATAGATTATTATTGTTATACCAGCATGAATATGCAAATGACTATATGTCTATGCAAAGAAATACCATCTACCTATCTACTTACGTCCATTGATCTATCTATCTATCTTCCATCTTTTTATCTATCGATCTAATCTAATTTAATCTAAATCTTACCTAATCTATAAACCAAACAATCAGTCAATCAATCAATAAATCTATTTACCTAACTAACTATCTATCTATCCATCCATCCATCCATCGATCTAATCTATCTAATCTATCTATATAACCTATATAACCTATCTATCTCATCTATCTATCTATCTATCTATCTACCTACCTATCTATCTATCTATCTACCTATCTATCTATCTACCTATCTATCTATCTATCTACCTAGCTATCTATCTATCTATCTACCTAGCTATCTATCTATCTATCTACCTATCTATCTATCTATCTATCTATCTATCTATCTCTCTCTCTATCTATCTATCTATCTACCTACCTACCTACCTATCTATCTATCTATCTACCTACCGATGAATCGATCGATCTATCTATCTATGTCTCTGTTCTGTTCTTTTCCGTTCTGTTCTATTCTCCTCTCTTGTCTTCTCTTCTATTCCTTTCGTTTCTTTTCTTTTCTGTTCTTATCTAATCTAACTTGTCTAATCTATGTAGCCTATGTAATCTATCTAATCTATGTAATCTGTTTAATTTTTCTAACCTATCTAATCTAGCTAGTCTATCCAATCTATCTTATCTAACCTATTTAATTTTCTCATCTGTTTATTTATCTATGTATCTATCTATCTATTTATCTTTCTACCTACGTATCTATCTAGCTAGCAAGCTAGCTATCTATCTATTTGTTCTATTCTCTTTTGTTCTATTCTTTTCCTTTCCTTTTCTTTTCTAATCCAGCTGATCTATCTAATTTTGCTAACCTATCTAATCTATCTGATTTATCTAACCATGTAATCTATCTAAGCTGTCTTTTCCGTCTAATCTATTTTTCCACCTATCTATCCATTTGTCTATCTACCTATCTTTCTACCTCTTTTATACATAGACATGCTTATCCATATATAGATAAATAAACATAGATAAATGCACACACACAAACACACACACATATATATATACATACAATTAAAAAATACATGAATATGTCTGTATATATATATGTACATAAATGTATATATATATACACATAAATATGTATATGTATATATATACATAATTATGTAAATATATATATATATATATATATTATAATTTACAGATATGTATATATAAATATCTTCACGTACATACACCTATTTTATATGTATATGAGAAAATGCCATGAAACGTTGCTTTGGGCGATGTGTATGCAAATGGTGAAGTGCCAAGGCCTGGCCTCATCCGGGATGCGGGTCATGTCCTGAGAAGTCGCAGGGAAAAGTTGACTGCATGTTTTTCTTAATTGCGATCAACTATATGGTTATCCCATGTTTTTCTCCAAGAGATAAAAATACATCCGTATTGAAATAGTGAGAATTCATTGTTCTATTTTTTGGATGACTGCAACCTACTGCAATGCGAGCGATCAAGAAGAATGACAGCAGTGAAAACATGATGACAATGAACATGATTGCCAGGAAGAAAACTGTTAGGATGATTGGGACATATTAGGACGACGACCACTACTGGAACTAAGATGAATGATGAACATGAAAACTGATAATGATGCTGGTGATGATGACGATGATGACGATGATGATGATGATGGTGGTGGTGGTGGTGTTGATGGCGATGGTGATGGTGATAGTGATGCTGATGATGATGTTGATGATGATGATGATGACAACGATGATGATGGTGGTTAGTGGTGTCAAGGTTGTACTTCGGGCCCTTGTCCTGCTTCCTCGTGTGCTTTGAGCTCAGTGTTAGTTTCAACAAGCAGGTTTGGTTCCAAAATGCTAGAGACATTTGCAGAGGATAAACATTTCTGAATATTTCAGTCTACTTCTTGTGAAACAGCTTGCAAAGTACAAGTGTTTTTTTTTTCTGCTTCAGTTGCCATGTAGATTTCGAGGTATGTCGCACGAAGCAGCGCCAGATTCAAACGCGTCGCCGCCTCCAGCGGTTGGGCCTGTGCCACGCTGGAGACTTCCCTACATCCCATTCAGAATTGAGGCTGCTCCTGGCCGATGAGAAGGGGCAGATTGTGGTCCAACCTAAATCACGTGTGGGCCACAGTGCATCACAGGGCCTGGGTTGTGATTTTTCCAGGAATAATCCTATCCTTGACCATTCTTGATCCATATTTTTGTGATGCAGAATCTACACTTGCGCGATCCCGGTATTAATCATCGAAGGATTTTGGTTTGAACTATCATTGTCGAGCATTGTTGCCATGAAATCATAGTAACTGACTAGTAGATCTCAAGACCTGATTTAATTATGACATTACTGTACATTACTGATTTCATCCGAATCTTTTGCTCACCAAAGTCTCAATTTTTCGTTTAGGCTTGGAGAAGCTTGAGTCGGACATTCGTTCCCCCAGCCGGGAACCAGGGAGACAACTGCAGGGTTCCCAGCCAGATTTCCCGGGTCTTGTCTCAGACACATATGATTGGACGCGACGTGAACAAACAATAAACATTATATGATATGAAATTGTTTACATATGGAGGTTCCTAAAAAGGGGGTACCCCCAAATCAGCATAAATCTTCCATTTGAGAATGTTCCATTATAAACAATGCATCTCGGGGTATCGGCATTGATGGAAACCCTCATACAAGACTTCAAGTCTTACAGCGTGTTAAAATATGCTAATTAATCATATTCGTGCTGCATCGTGCATCCCTGACAGACCTGTTGGATGTGGCCCAGCCACTGTGCCCCGAGTCGAAACGATTGAACAGAAGTTTTATTGTGGTTTATTGCTGGCATGAAATGCCAGATGCAGGTGGAAGAAGGTGATGGTTACTCTATGTTACTGTATTATGATGTTCGATTTTCGGTCGCAGGAAGGGTGCGAGACAAATCTTGCATCACTGATGCGTTCCCCTCGCCGGTGTCAAGGCTGCGCAAGTGACGTTAAGCCTATATAGTCAAAGTTTTTTTTTGATCCTTTCCGCGTGCAAGAACATGGGCCAATACTGACTTGGAAGGTCTTGACTTCTGCTATTCTGACTTCTTAGTGGGTTTGGCTTCTTAATGGGCACCTCCCGCTTGCCTATCTTTCTTTTGTGAATTTGACAACCATTGGTCTGAGGATGATTGTTTACCGATTTGCTGACATCATTGAGACATCTTGAGACTAGCGTGAAGAACGGAAGCGACCTTGAGAAACCAGTTTTGGGTGAAACCGCAGACAAAAACACAAATCATACGGCAACAATCAGCAAAATGATAAATATGTGATTCATTGCACTTCTTGGATAGGTGTGATTTTGCGTAAGGACTTGACTTGATACGTGTGACACCTTCATTCCACATGCCATGGAACGCAAGACGGTGGCACCAGAAGTCACAGGCACTTGCCAAAGCCGATTGCCGCAAATGGGTTTCTGCCTGGGATGAGATATGTGGATGTTTCATGATATTTCTCATACTGCCACGGTCTTCTATCAGTTTCTTAGACACGCAGTTTTTTTAGAGGTGCAGCAGTTCCAGTTTAAAGTGGGCAAATAAAACGATTATTTTATAATTTATGTATATACTGTATATATATATAATTAAATTGTTTCCCAATATATCCCAATTGAGAGTCGAGTTTTAACCTCAACTGCGTCCCCAAGTCCCTGGACTCTTTGGAAATGACCAGGTGCTGAGGACGAGCCGAATCAGCTCTGGCTGGTGGCACCCTTCCGTGCCGTGCAGGGCGAATACGCCCCATGACAGCAATTTTTTGGGCCAGTGATGACCAATGGGAAAGTGATGGTCAACCATCAATTTGGGGGGTACCAAATTTACTCATATTTCAGACATACCCTTTTGTTCGGACCACAAGTCGGCGAAGGTGAGATAGGTCAGATAGGCAAGGCTTAGAAAATGGTAACGGTCAGTGCTGGATCAGCTTCCATGATGGATTATATTTGCAGGTAAGGGAATTGTAGAAGGCACGGACAACAACAACAACAACAACACCAACAGCAACAGCAACAGCAACAGCAACAGCAACTGCAACAGCAACAGCAACAGCAACAGCAACAGCAACAACAACAACAACAACAACAGGAACAGGAACACGAACAACAACAAACAACAAACAACAAGCAACAAACAACAATAGCAGTCTTTTTTCACCCCGAGCCCGCAATTGCGTGCGCGGCACAATCCGCTTGAGCGCCGGCCTGAACCCTGGGTCTATTCAGCCAAAAGATGCGAAGTGGAAACCACATCAAAAGCAAATAAAATAAGACAAACAAAAAACACCGCCGTCAAACTTCATTGTCTTCACTCAGCTCAAATCAAAACAGGGAGGACCGTGAAGTCCAATCAAATAAAAACCCACCCAAGAACAATCGAAAAACCAACAAACAAAAAGAAAAACCAGAACACTTCAAAAGATCCACCTTCTGGCACCTTAGTTGGCAGGAGGACAAGACATGGAAAAAGTATGGCATCGCAACACTCCGTCCAGAAGACATGAAACAACTCTTCCAAAAACTCAAAAACAAATCAAGTGGAATCACATCCAAGGGAAACCCTCAGCAAGTGCAAATTCAAATTTGCTCCTGCTTCACTGCTCCCATCACGTAACCAGCACAAAAAATGGGACAAGAAAAATAACACCAATGCAGCTTATGACTGGAGGTGCAAACTGCCACGGACCCTAGGAGACTGCAACACAGCCTCAACCGCATGGGAAAACTGCTGGCCAAACTTGAGCGCCACTAGTGAGACCGCACTCACGCTCACTAAGCTCAGTTGGGACACGAGATGGGCGCCAGTAAAAGCATCCATCAAAGCAGTGAAATCCCGCTCTGTGACAGCCAAAATGTACCAAGCATTCCACCAACGCCAGAAACTGCATGCCGCTGGGGGCCACATGCTGCCGCATTCCCATGGCGTGTGCGAAGGACACACGCACCAGCACAGCAGGAAACCCAAAGCCACTCCCAGCGTCAAGGCCAGCCATTGCATCCGGCACCTTCAGCAAGGCAAGGCATCCCTTGCCAGCTGCAGCACTTTTTGGATAGCAGGAGCTTTCCTACTTGGAATCTCAGGCTCTGGAATCCTGGTAGACAAAAACTGCTTCAAGACGGGCAAAGTTTTTCCATTAAGCTGATCTTCGATATCATGCCATGTATGCACCTTTCCCACATCCACCAGTGGCGTCACCTCTCCATCTGACATGAAAGACAGCAAGGTCTTGAGATGAGACTGGGCCTTTGGCGTGAGTTGCTCACAGGCACGTGTCGCAGGTAGCTTAGCTGGAGTAACAGGCTCAGAACTTGGCTTCAAAGTTTTTTTGAGCTTCTGGATTTCTGCCATGAGCCTATCCTCACTGGCTTGGGCACGCTCAGCAGCTTTCTTTGCCTGTTTCCTGGCCTGTTTCTTTTTTGCCACAGAGGAGCTCGACGATGATGATGGAGACGCAGAAGAAGAGGAAGAACTAGATCTCTTCTTTTTCTTCCTTTTCTTCTCCTTGTCCCCAGCGGCCTTGCTCCTTCGTCTGACATCCTCAGCACCAAGATCGCGCTGACTGCGGTGGCCACCACGTCGGCGCTTGTCACGATCATGGTGAAAGTCCTTCTCAGAGCCGCGCACTGCCACCTCAAGCCTCACGACTTGAGGTTGACCAGAGTGTCTGGCTTGGCCCTGGTCTGGCTGTCTGGGTTCACGGTATCCTCTGCCACCATTGTGCCGGCCAGCACAAGCACAACCGACAAATAGGAGCATCCACCACCACCGCATCGCAAAAGACATGGCCCTGTCTATTGGCAACAGCGGAGGCGAATGAAACACTGAGCACAAAACTTAAGGCGTGAAGCAAGCAAGGAAACCTGCCACCAGCAACTTGCCCGTAAGGGGTTGCTTGCGGTGAGCAACCCGAAAAACTGCACTGCGGAGGTGTTGTTTTTTCCATCCTGCCCTCAAGAAATCACAAAACAACTGCACCATCGCCGCTGCCAAATCTTCAGGCAACAGCTGCATCTCCTGCCAACGAGTGACTCTCCCAGATAGCACACTGAAAGCGTAGGTTTTGCTAGCCGCCCATGGCATAGGTGGCACAAATTGCTTGCGCTTTGCTGTCCAACGCATAGAGGGCAAAACAATAGAAAAATCAAGCCAAGTCAGCACACCATTATTTCCAGGAACGGTGACCTCAAAGGGCACTGAGTAAGCATGCTGCACCCCTTCTTCAAGGCACCCAGTGCAAAGCGACCTGCTGAACCAAATGAGGTCATCGACATATCGCCCACGAGCAACAGAGTGAGACCACAGCCGATCATCCCACCAGAATTGAGCAACCTGCCGTCTGTTTTGGTCAAAATTCCAGCAATGCTCTTGCCAGCCAAGAACTGTCGAGGCGGCCACCTTCGACAACAATCCCCCTATCGGGAGTCCAGAAAAGGACCATACCTGCGTACCAGTGTATGCAAACCGAAGGGAGCATGCTGCTGCAAATAGCCAATAAAGATCCTCCATGAAGAAAACTCGGCATCTGCGCAAAGATCTGAAGATACAGCCGCCAAAAAACACCACACGACTGCCAACAACCGTGACAGTTGTATGGCCGTTCTTCCGGGCCAACGTCAGTACTTCGTCCAACGCAGAGCAGGCTTCAAAGGCAGACACGCATTCAAAGAACTGGCCCGCATCTGCAGTAATTCCCTGGATTTCTGCACAAGCACCATGACAGCGGTCACACCGCCCTGCTTGTCTGGCAGGAAGCAAGCGCGCCATCTTCCGCTCGAGATCACGACGGGCAGTATTCAATGCCCAAATTTCATCAGTGCAGATAGTCATTTGCAGAATGAAAGTCAAAGCCCTGCCAGCCTGCCGCCACATGCGCCGAGCTGGCCACTTGACGTAGGACACTATCCTGCGCATACACGAATGCCCTGGTTTCTCACAGGAGCGGCGACCGTTGGAAAAACACTTCGGCTTCATGCTGTTGTAGCAGTACGGAAGAAACCATCTGCCTGGCACCACTCCAAATTGTCGACGTAACCTGGCTGGAACAAAAGCTGTCAGCAGGGCAACACACCACGCTTGCGCTTCCTCCACAGACATGTCTACAGCACACCATGCACTAGAGAGGCACACAAAAAAGGCCATCATGAGGAAGTAAGTCTTCTTCGGCACAATCCATTTGTACTGTTTCATTTTGTCATCTGGGCAAATCACCTCTTGCTTGCCTGCGGAAAATTGGGAGAAAATGTGCTCGTGCTCTGCTGTCAGTGCCACAACGCGTTGACGATGCATCTTCCACGCTCTTGTTGCTTCCAGCTGTCGCGCTGCATGTCCACGGCACGTCTTAGCCACTTTTGGCGAAAGAAAGGCACCGCACCACCCACGCAAACACTGCTTGACCGAAGACAAGTCATCTTCTCGCGTAGATGGCATAGGCACCCTCCAGTTGGTTTCTACACGCCGGGCGCCAGTGGCACGCACCGCATCTGCCAACTCTGAGTCACTGCACTGCCGGACTTCATCCCAGTCAAAAACTTGCGCTTGTTGAGCGCAATTTTGCTTGTCAGCAAAAGTACGCACCTTTCCCACTGCAATCCGAGTACTCTCCACCACGTAGTTCCGCATCATTTTGTCCCAGCTCGGTTGAGAGGCAACGCCCAACCGCAGTGCTGACTTCACCGCCGGGATGAAGCAACGCTGGGGCACCGTAATGATGAAGCCGCGTGTAGAAGGGAGCCTTCGAGAATGCAGCAAGTCATCAAACTTTTTCTGGGCCAACTGGAGCCTTCGGCCGACAAGCCAGAGTTTCGCTTTCTTCCAAAGCAAGATTGCTGAACATGGCGAACGCCAATGCTTATCAACGCACGCCCAATGAACACTTGCACCAAAGGATCCTACAAATAAAAGCAATAAACGCCAGTGCCCAGGACTGTAAATGTTGAGGGGACCCAAAACGCCAGATTGCGCAAAGCGATGTTGCTGCACATGTCTGTAGGCAGATCGGAAATCCATCCCCAGCGCTCGCACCAAATCCTGAGGCTCAGCCCGATGGGCATTGTACTGCTGTGCCCTAGACACTCGAGCCAGCGCCTTCTCAAACTGAGCAGATGCGACCCCACCTTCAAAAGTTCCTTCACGCAAATGATGGCCCACATACCCCCTGCAAGATCGGGGAGGTCTATGGCGTGGACGCTTGTTGCAAGTCAGACGCTTTTTGCCTGAGCCATTCGCAGCAGGCTGGTGGCAGCGAATCTCTAACTGCTCAGCAGCATACATCAAAGTCGAAGGGCCAGCTCTTGAAATCAAGAAACCCATGTTGCTCCCACTTGCTTTGCGAAAAAGAACGTACTTCTTCAACTGGGATCCTTTGAGGCTGCGCCTGGACCAATGCAGCAGATGCTCCCACCCACGCAAAGCAGGCCCTGGCATGCCGGGCCGGGATGCACGCTGCAAAGAAGCAACCCCAACATACCTGGAAGGCCCAAGCCACTGATACAAGACCGCACAATTCTGCAAGTTGCACCCATAAGCTTCCAAATCAATGTTGGGAGCCCGAACAGCGAGAAGCTGCAAGTGGACAAATCGGTCAATTGCCTGCCGTCTTTGCGCCAAACTTTGCTCTGGGAAACTCTTGGGCCAGAAAATAGAACGGTGATCTGGGCAAAGTAGTTGGCCAACCTGGTGACTTTGCTGGGTCCTAGCCCTGCCCTTCAGGATCGCCATGCCGTTGGCAACAAACAACCCGGCAAGGGCTCGCAGAGCACCCTCTGGTTTTCTCCCAAAATTCTTCCCATCTAAGAAAAGCCAAGACAGCAAAAAGTCAATTGAAATCTCCAAGCAAGCTAAAACTCGTTGTTTCAGGTGGCAACGCAGCAAGCAATCTGCAACCATAAAAACTGCAGCTGTGCCAATGTGCATGCCTTTCTGTTTGGCGGAAATGTGCTCAAAATTCATCTCAGCAGAAAGCCCTGAAGCCCACATCAAGACGGACCAAAGTCCATCAAGCACCTTATTCAAAGGGATCCGTTCCAAGTCTTGGTTACAATGCAGTCGCAGTTGAGCCGTGGCCAATTCGATCGCAGTGGGCATGCCTGCAAAAACCTAGCGTAGGAATATCGTTGCTGTTGCAGTAGCAAGCCCAAAACAAAAATTCGCCGCACCAAGATACGCTGCACCGCGAACACTCTGCACTGTAAGGAAATATGGAAATATGGAAATATGTAGAACGATCACCCAGTCAAACCGGGAGGCAAGGAGCACCGTTACAAGGCCAACAGCAGAGCTGGGTCACCAAGCCGGAATTGCTCCCGTAACAAACAACAACCAACAACCAACAACCAACAAACATCAAACCACAACCGACGACCGCTGGACGACCGCTGGACGACCGCTGGACGACCGCTGGACGACCGACAACCGACGACCGACAACTAACAACTAACAACTAACAACAAACGACAACAACTAACAACTAACAACTAAAAACTAACAACAAACAACAAACAACAAACAACCAACAACAACAACAACGACGACGACAACGACAACGACAACAAGAACGACAACAAGAACGACAACAAGAACGACAAGAAGAACGACAAGAAGAACGACAAGAAGAACGACAACAATAACGACAACAAGAACGACAACAAGAACGACAACAAGAACGACAACAAGAACGACAACAAGAACAACAACAAGAACGACAAGAAGAACGACCAGCAACAACCAGCAACAACCACCAGCGACAACCAGCAACAACCACCAGCGACAACCACCAGCAACAACCACCAGCGACAACCACCGGCAACAACCACCACCGACAACCACCAGCAACAACCACCAGCAACAACCACCAGCAACAACCACCAGCAACAACCACCAGCAACAACCACCAGCAACAACCACCAGCAACAACCACCAGCAACAACCACCAGCAACAACCACCAGCAACAACCACCAGCAACAACCACCAGCAACAACAACAACAAACAACAACAACCAACAACAACAAACAACAACACCAACAACAACACCAAACAACACCACACCAAAAACACCGACAACACCGACAACACCGACAACACCGACAACACGACAACACCGGACAACAACCACCAACACAACAACACCAACAACAACAACAACAACAACAACAACAACAACACCAACAAACACCGACAACACCGACAACACCGACAACACCGACAACACCGACAACACCGACAACACCGACAACACCGACAACACCGACAACACCGACAACACCGACAACAACAACAACAACAACAACAACAACAACAACAACACCAACAACACCAACAACACCAACAACACCAACAACACAACAACAACAACAACACACACACCAACAACAACAACACCACAACAACAACAACAACAACAACAACAAACACCAACACCAACAACAACAACAACAACCAACAACCCACAACCCACAACCCACAACCCACAACCCACAACCCACAACCCACAACCCACAACCCACAACCCACAACCCACAACCCACAACCCACAACCCACAACCCACAACCCACAACCCACAACCCACAACCCACAACCCACAACCCACAACCCACTAACCCCACAACCAACAACAACAACCAACAACCAACAACCCACAACCCAAACCCACAACCCACAACCCACAACACAACAAACCCAAACCCAAACCCACAACCAACACACCCAACAACAACAACAACCAACAACCAACAACCAACAACCAACAACCAACAACCAAACCAACAAACAACCCAACAAACAACCCAACAAACAACAAACAACCAACAACCAACAACAAACAACAATCAACAAACAACAAACAACAAACAACAAACAACAAACAACAACCAACCAAGAACCACAACCACAACCACAACAACAACAACAACAACATCGTTAGTAATGAACAATCCCCACGAACCACCACCAATCATTATTATCATCACCCTCCTCCTCATCCTTATCCTCATACTCATAGTCATCCATCATCATCAGTCATCATTGGTTTTCAGCACCATCACCATCACCGTAGCCATCATGATGATATGTTTTCTCATCGCCTTTGCGGCCTTCGGTTGCACCGAGGTGCTACAAAAAGGCCGGGACAACTGGAATCAGCCGCTCTGGCGACAGCTGAAAGGCGCAAGTTGGCTCTTCAGCTCGCCGGACGGCTTCTGGCGCTTCGCTAACAACGACCTGGAGCCAAAAATGAAGGGGTTGGCCATGGTGGGAGGAAACTGATGGAAAACAAATAAAAAATACCCCTAGACTTGGCGCGTTTGAGTTGTAGCCTTTCTGATCATTGACTCTCGATTGATTCTCTTTTGCGGAGATTTCGTATTCAAAGCAGCTGGAATACAATATTCTTTCAGCGCAAGGCCTACTACTACTTGGTCCCTTCAACTATATACTGTAATCTTTCCACTCCAGCATGACATAAAAACAACGCACCTGAAGTGTTTTGGTCGAGTAATTATTGAATCTGCCCATTTTGGGGGTCATATTGTTTAAATGGTTTTGTTTTCGGCACGCGTTTGACTCGCAATCTCCAGGAGCTAGCCGAGCACTTGGGGCACATCCAGTCGTCGGAGCCACATGCAGGAAAGCTGCCACACCAGGCTGGAAGGGTTGATTTGAACGAGGTATCCGTGGGATTTTTCGGGGGGAATTGGCTAAGAGAAAAAACAACTCGTCCAGAAGATGAGGACGGATAGTTCGTGCTTGTGTTTTTGGATTACGTAGGCCCACGGATTACATGGGCACACGCGTGCACAGAGGTTTCTTGTCGGAATTAGGCCACTGTCGTCTCACTTTTAAGGCACCATCCAATCCCACCAAAACGAAAAAAAACAAGAAAACAATAAAAAAACAATGATACAAACAAAACAATTTACTTTATTTCGGTCGAGTGATCCCCGCCCTGACATTACCTTGTCATTATTTCTAACACCCCATTTGGAAGTATATGCGGCATGTATTTTCAGACATTCTATTCTGGCATATTATCTGGCGTCTATTCTGACATCTTATTTGGCATCCTTTCTGGCATCTATTCGGACATTTTCTCTGGCATTTTTTCCGATATTTTATCTGGCATCTATTATATATTCTGACACTCTTTCTGGCATCTATTCTGGCATTCTATCTGGCATTTTTATTTGACATTCTATCCTGGCATTCTATCTGGCATCTATTCTGACATTCTCTCTGCCTTGGGCACTCTGGCACTCGGCAGTGCCCACTGAGATCTGGAGCTTGCGGTTGAGGTCCGCCAGTGCCCGCTGACATCTGGAACTCGCAGTTGAGCCAACTGAGCTCCTGGGCCTCATGGTTGAGGTCCGGCTGTGCCCACTGAGATCTGGAGCTGGCAGTTCAGCGGCAGTGCCCACTGAGATCTGGAGCTCCCAGTTTAGCGGCAGTGCTCACTGAGATCTGGAGCTGGAAGGAAGGAAGGCTAAGCAACTCTGATAAAATCTAGAGGCCGTCACCTGGCAGGTGGGAAAAACCAAGATTGCAGATTTCAAGGCGGAGGGAAGATACAGAGACTTGGGTACTGCAATCTTGATATATATATATATATATTCTTTATTTTTTTGCTTTTCATTTTTTGCAATATTGAATCTTGTGTATTTGCCCAGGGATGAAAAATTAATTGCATGGGTGTGGTGGCAAGTGGTTCAGGTTAGATGCTAAAGAGAATTGGATCCTAACAGCATTCTTTCCATGGCAGTTCCTCATGCTGTTTGACAATGTTTTGCATGTCTACTAACCAAATAAGTTTAAAGACAATGAAACCCACAAAGTATTGATTATGAAGAGATGGTTTCATCTTTATCAAGTGGATGCAGAAAAGACAACATTTATATATATATATAATTATATATATATACATGTTTGAAAAAAACATATTTATTGAAATGTGGGCGGATGTTTTTTTTGAAAAGTTATGTCTGTATTATCTGAAGGTTTTTTCAGAAGATAGGCAGGTAGAACCCCTTGACGGATGCACCACTTTTTTGAAGGAGCATCGTATTCACTGAAACAAATGTATGGCATATTTTCGTACAGTTTCCCCTCTTACGTGAATGACAGATGCTGTTAAACATGGTCATACTAGTGAAGGCATTGAAACAGGTGTCCTTTGAAACCACGGTACAGGAATGCTGAAATTATTCCATTTAAACATCTTTCAAACAACAGGGAGGGACACAGAGAGAGAGAGAGAGAGAGACATGTTATGTTCAAAAATGTTGGTTCCTCACAGAAATAAATTATTATGCGGCATGGAAGGAAGATTGCAACTTTTAACATTTTTGAAGAAATTATTTTACTTCGAGTGATCCCCGCCATGGCATTTCAAGGCATATATTTTGACATGTATTTTGTCAATGATCATACAAATCCGCCATCTCACAAGAGAAGCACAACATCGTATGCTATGGTTTGAAAGCAAACAAATGCGGCACAAGAAGTGGTTGGCCTTCCTTTGCCTTGGCCCGGCGGCCCGAAGGGAGCGATGTAGAAAGGTCCGACATGCAGTGGTTGAGGTCCGGCAGTGCCTACTGAGATCTGGAGCTTGCGGTTGAGTTCCGGCAGTGCCCACTGAGATTTGGAACTCACAGTTGAAGCAGGGGTGGAGGCGGAGGGCAAGGCGGAGGTGGGCGGGCCAGCTCTGACAAAATCTAGAGACCCGCACCTGGCAGGTTGCAGGATGTTGCAGGTGGGGAAAAAATTATTTCATCCTAGAGGAAAAAAAAACACGACACTGCATTTTGTGCAGGAATATTGTGCTCTTTCCTGGACATTTGGAAATGCATATTACACTTCTTCATGCATCTGAAATGCATCTTTCGTTGGGGTATTTCACATTGTGTATAGGGGCACTGTCTCTTCAAAGGGCACACTGCGTCGCCTTGAACGAAAATAACAAGAACGATTTTGGCATTAGGAATGACATGTGATAATTGGCATGTCGCAACAAAATTGTTCTAGCTATATGACACGCACAGTAATTTGCAGGAATTTTGTATTGTTAAAGGGAACATTATAGCGTTTGAAGTAAGTTGGTCACACTGTCAAGAGTCAAGCCGATTTGGTTTTCAAAAAACACATATTGTCGAGTGGACATGAGGACATTTCTTTTGTAGTTACACCAAATAAGATTGATTACACATTTGAGGAAACGTGACAAAAAAGTGCAGGCAACTCTTTTTTTTCCCCTAGTGTGATTGCATGAATCTCAATGGCAAGGGTGACTACAGTGGAATGGAGCCGATCTGCCCGAAGAAAATCATGTGGTTTTGTTTGAAAGTACGCCAAATGCTATGATTAATATTGTTTAATCAGTTTCAGCATGCCGAAACCAGGTGCTTCAATGGCAGCACCATGATGGAAGTGCTTGGTACAATGACCGTGGCATCAAGGCGAGCTCCGGTCAAGGTTTTGGGGCTGGGGGATGGGTTCGCATCACCATATCACCGCGGCAGGTCACAACGTCTCCAAATGATTTTGAAGCATTTTGTCGGTCAGAAGATGCCGAGGCGGTGGGAGTTGTCCAGATAGCAGGTATTTTCAAAGTAAGTTGCAGGATTTGCAGGGGAAATTACCAGCAACCCCTTATGTTGGCTGGGAATGGCTGGGAAAGACCATGATTTCCTGTTTTTGTTTTCCCCTGAATCAATCTATTGAGGATTATTGAGGATTTGTATGCAATTGCCTAAGGTTAGAACCATCACTTTCGCCAGGAACATAGCTCCCTGTGGTTGGTGGCTCCTCGCTTCCCGCAACTTCAGGGTGAGTACCGCAAGCAGGAGACATGCTGTCCAAATGGCACGCTCGCAGCCATGGAACGCATGGAGAATCCACTGCGCAGGAAACCCGGAAAGAACGTGGTCAGCCTGTGTGGCGACAAGTCAGTGGAGAAGGCCTACAGTTTTTTTTTTTTAAATATGTTTTTCTTAACGCCATAGTTATATAACTAGTGGTTTGGGCCGTTTGGATTCTGATGCCTTGAAGGACAAGAGCTTGTGATAATCCCATTTATCATAAGTCATGAGGAGAGATATTCCAAAGATTTTCAAACCACTGACGCAAATCATCATTTAACCATTGGTGGCAATCATCCGGAGATGTCAAACAATCTGCAGAAGCCTTGAAACAGTTCTCAGTGCGGCACTGCACCTTGACAGGCTGGATCTTCAGTACAAACAAGGGACGTTGGTTCATCAGCGTGCGGACGCTAAGGGTCCTTTGCTGCCATCCCAATCCTAAATCGAAAATTTGATTTGCAGAGGGACAAGGCAAGTCAAGTGCTCATCCAGTTCCCGCAGTTCCGCTGATTAAAGCCGAACCTGCAAGAAAACCACCACCACCACCACCACCATCATCATCATCATCATCATCATCATCATTTCCAATAGTTTGGTGACCAATTAGTGCCAAGGACACCGAGGAAGGGATTGCCAACAATCGCTGGGACCTGAGCTGGTCTTCTAAGAAGCTATGCATGGCTACTGAAGATAGTTCTTCGGCACATAGCAATCCTTCAATATCCAACATTTTTCACACTCAGAAATTGGACAACAGTGGCTCCCCCAGTCCATTTGTCACCAGAACAGAACTATCCAGAACTCTTTTTTAAGCACTTGCATCATGACTCTGTTGAGACATTTGGGAAGGCATTCAGGAGCCAGGCAACGTTCAGATTGATCCACACCATTCCACACTTTTTTCTGTCTTCAGCAATCCCTCAGGAGGAGTATTGGCGAGCACCACGCAGCACAATGGCAGCGCACCGTATCAGATTGATCAGTGGCAATTTTTGAGTCAAGGTTCGTGGCAGTCGGACCAGACCATCTTCCTCACAGAACCTCAGCTCTTCAGAGCGTAAGTTAGAGGCAGCGCAGCAGCGCAAAGAGTCAGATATCCTGATGAGCTGGTGACAAGATGTAATATAATGTTATACATATATATATAGAGTATCCATGCATGTAGTTGAGTTTTATATGTGATGAATTGTCCTGATGCAAAGTGATTAATTATGGTTGGTTTTGTTCATTTTTGTTCCCATTATTCTTAGCCTTATCCTGATTCAATGACATTTTTGCTCAGGAAAAGCAAGCAGAGGAGCGCAGGGAAGCTGACGTCATGAATGGGTACCCTCTGGCAATCAAACATGGCAATTGAGAATTCCACTTCTAGATTAATAGGATTTTGAAGGGCTCTTCCCATTAAAACATATTAACACCTCCATTGCTAGGGTATTTTCCATTGCCCATTTTGATTGCCAGAGGGTACCCCATATCAAATACCCAAGACAACACTTCAATCCGCAACTTACTATGATGTTATTTGTTATGCGTTGCAAGTCATTGATTGCCATGATTCCTTCTCTCAGTGTATGTTATCAATTCGAATGATCTAATGAGGCAATCCAATTACTTTTCGCTATCCCCAATCGAGGTTTAGAAAAATCCCTCCCCCTGTAAAATACACCACACATGGTCTCCCAAACCGATCGTAATCTTAAGATGCACTGGAGGGGATTGTTTTTCAAAAACCCTCACGGATGATCTAACTGTCTAACCCTCACGTAAATCAAATTAGTGATCAATAATGAACCATCTCCGATTGGGGTTTCGTATTGCTAGTTATTGGTTCAGAAATGCCAGCATTTCTGATCAAACATGGCTGGAAAATCCCATATTTAGATGGATGATTTTCCCATCAAAGAAGCTCCGTTTGGCTGGGGGATTTGCCAGCCATGTTTGATCACGGGAGGCACCGGCTTTGGGTTTATCAATATTTGTCATGGTGAAACATGGCGTATATTTCGTCACTATTGTAGTTTCTTGTTGGTCTCTCACTGGGTCACTGGGTCATACCCTTTGGGAAACTAATATATATAGAATATATAGATGTGTGGTTTCTTGTTGCTTTTGTAGCCTTTCCAACAATTTTGAATTGGAACACTCATGAATATCATATGAATATCATGAATACTCATGGGGAATGCCTTGGAAATCCTAGGTGATACTATCTACGACATGGTGGGTTTTCCATGGTTTTCCATGTCGAAACAGGCACAGCGCCGCGTTGCTGAGCAGCAACGGGAAGCCGTGAAGCGTACGGACCGTGCCCCAGACAAGGCGCGGTGAAATTCGGCTGGTGGATGATGGGCTTATGGATGTTTCAGGCTGTATCCACATATCATATATTTATAAATAGTATAGTAATGTATATGATGATATATCATGTAAGTAGATAATGCAAAAAAAAATGGCTAAACCATAGAAGGCATCTTTTCATACCGGGATGGCGAGAGAACATTGCAGTTTGGAAAATGCATGTCATAAGTCACAAGTTGGATATTTTGTATACAATGATGTAGAATACATTGGATATTTCTGTATACAAATGATGTCGAAGACATTTTGTTCATACACATGACATAGGTTGGATATCAGTTTGCTCAATGTTTGGTGACGTTGATGAAACTCTATGTTAAGGGATCATGGTTCTTCCATGGTTTGGAGCCGTTAGGTTTGGATCCTCTGCCAGCCAAAACCACACCTCCAAGGGGAGTATGTGAAACAGCCATGACCTCAGCGCATAGCGGCTATTGATGATCATCGATGATCAATATCAATCCATCTTGGAATAAACTCCTAAACGATTCAAGGCCAGCCCGCATCGAACGTGGCCAAGCGGTTTGGCGCCAGCTCGGGGGCAATGGCATTCTGTGCCTCGGCTGAAATCATGTTAAATCACCAATATCTCCATTGAAATGGCTATTTACGGCTATTTGGGAGGTATACACCACTTCTTTTTACATAAAGCATATTTGGGAGGTATACGCTGTTTTTGCAGTATACACCACATTTTTTCTCCATATAGATCCACCAAATACTCCCATTGATGAATTCTCAGTGATCATTGTTAAATATGTTAAATGGAATATGAATGAATATGATGGAATACGTCATGGAAAATGGTGGTGGAACATGTTGGAACCATTCCATTTCTATCCATTTCTCGTCATCGCTGAGGTACAGCAACGGCCTGGGGGGCTTTTGGTGTGTGGCAACTTGGCCGGGTCGAAATGGTGCAACTAGGCCACCGATGCAACCGATGCAACCGATGCAACCGATGCAACCGGCGCAGTGATAAGGCAACCAAAGAAGCCGACGCCGACGGCTTAGAAGTTACCGCGAATTGAACAGTTGGCTATGCGGCTACGCGGTGCAAAATAAGGAATCATCATAAACCCATTTTATAATATTTTATAGATGATTTATACCTAAAACTGTCAAATCTGATGTGGCGACTTGTTACCCTTGCTTCCTCGAAAGACCCTCTGCAGGAACGAGGTTGTTGAAGCCAATTTCTACCATTGCTCTGCTTGTTTTCCTATTTTTCCTCAAGGTCCAGAAAAACTTGGGCCTCTTGCAATGTTCCACGCCGCACTATGGACGTCCACCTCATGAGATGGAGGCTTGGCCAGTTTCATCCAGTTTCCAAATGTTTCCAAGGGATCTCCTTAGTATCTTACCTTACCAGGTAGATCCACGTAGCCTTCCCTCGGTCAATCTGCCAGTCCTGGCAATTTGCTGACGGCAATACCTGGCGGGTTCACAAGAATGTGCGTGGCGAGCTCAAAGAGCCAAATGGGCGCCCTTTCACCCGCTTGATGCGCCCGAGTCAAATAGGGTATAATAGGGTAATGTATGGTAATGTATGAAGTCACATGACATGGTTGGCCAATTAAGATACTTCAGTTATAGTTAAACATAGTTAAACTAATATCAATGATGATCAATGTAATTTAATTACACCATCAAGTCATCAAGCAACCCATCTCACCTGGTGAGACCGGAGGTGTGACGGCCAGTCGCCAGGAAGGTTTAGCAGCTTTGGCGGAGCAGGCAGGTCGTGAAGGTCATTTTTTTCATCCCTCCAGGCTGATGATCCATTAGTTAGAAAAAAGAAAATGGATTATTTGAAAAACTAATGATAATTATGGAATCCATTAGTTAGATAATCCATAATGTTTGAAAAACCAAAAAGAAAAAAGGCTCCTCAACTTCTCGTTTTGGGGGTGATGACATGTGATGATGGTTGAAACCGGGCTTCCAGGTGTTCTAAACGCTGCTGGGATTTGAGCCCTTTGCCACTGCAGAACTGGCTCAGAAGTGGTACTATGTTCTACTCGTCACCAGCGGATGTGCATGAAGCGTTCTTAAGGTGTTAATCACCAGCTAGAAAAAAAACATGAAAAATCTAGAAAACACATGTCTCTACAGTTCCTGCAAAAAATATCGACACAATGAAGGACGCGGACTCAAAAAAATGCATCATGTTTTTCTTGGTTTCCATAATTTTCCATATGTTTTCCCACGGCTTCGTGAAGCCCAGCGGTTTTTTCGCCGCCATGTACTTCATCCCATTCGTGGCCTTGCTGGACCTGGCAGCTGGGGAGCCTGCATTGCGAGCACAGGTAGCTCAGATCTGGGGGCCGTGATCCATGGCACAGTGGGATACTAAGAAAAACAGCGTCCAACAGTATGAATTCTGAGATATTCTGAGTAGGTGTATTTATGTGTATTACCAACATCAATGCTGTAGTGTTTTTTGAGATATTGATATAATTGATATAGTACATATACATACATAGAAACATATGTGAATTATGATAGATGATCATAGATGTAATGGTGGGAAAAGCATGTTGCGTACTGGCTGACGTCACTGTAAAAGATGGCTTAGGGGCTTAGGGGAATGCCCAAATGACCAAACATTTCCGGCTGGTGAATCAGCATCAATTCCCAGCATCGCTAGCCGCAGATACGATGGATGACACAGACCCCCGGGATTGAGCCTCCAGTGGACAGCTTGGATGGTGAATGGGAGGTCCGCCGTTTGCAAAATGATGCTTGGCTGCAACGTGACGCTCGTGCTGAGCGACGATAAGTGTCCACAAATGGCTAGTTCTGGGCCATTGACAGGATAATCACGTGGGATGCATGTATTGATCTGATACAGATAATTATATTGATACATCATGATACATCATGTTACGACAATTTGTTTGTATCATTTTGTATCACATCATAGGTGCATTATATACAATACACACACACACATATATATATATATACCGTTAAAAACAAAGTTAGAATGCGGTTTTGGCTTCGCGTGATGGTGGCCCGTTTGGCCCCCCCCCACGGCAGTCGCATTCTAACTGAGGAAACACCTGTAAATATGCAGAAACACAGTTAGAATGCGGCGCCAAAATTGGTAAGAAAATGTAAGTTTTTACTGGTATTTTACAGGCGAAATACAGTTAGAATGCCTCCTCCTTTTCTTCTATGTTGTTCCTTACCCTTCCTTTTCTTCTATGTCTTTTTCATTGATCTATATCTGCTGTAGTTTCCGGGGGGCATTTTATCTGTTGTTTTTCTACTGTAGCCATATGTTTCTGACCCGCAGGGAGCCTGGAGTGCCCTTGTCTCTTTTCCGCTCTTATCCGCTTCCCTTTCCTTGTCCTTTTGTTTCTATAATAGTCCTTTCCCTTCCTTTTCTTCTATGTCTGTATCCGTAGGCATTCTATCTGTTGTTTTCCCTCCTGTAGCCATATGTTTCTGACCCGCAGGGAACCTGGAGTGCCCTTGTCTCTTTTCCGATCTTATCCTCTTCCCTTTTCTCCTCCTTTTCTTCTATATTGTTCCTTACCCTTCCCTTTCTTCTATGCCTTTTTCATTGACCCATATCTGCTGTAGTTTCCGGGGAGGCATTCTATCTGTTGTTTTCCGCACTGCAGCCATATGTTTTTGACCCGCAGGGAACCTGGAATGCCCTTGTCATGCCCTTGTCTCTTTTCCGACCTTATCCTCTTCCCTTTTCTCGTCCTTTTCTTCTATATTGTTCCTTACCCTTCCTTTTCTTCTATGTCTTTTTCATTGATCTATATCTGCTGTAGTTTCCGGGGAGGCATTCTATCTGCTGATTATTTGCTGTTTTCCCCACTGTAGCCATATGTTTCTGACCCGCAGGGAACCTGGAGTGCCCTTGTCCCTTTTCCGATCTTATCCTCTTCCCTTTTCTCATCCTTTTCTTCTATATTGTTCCTTACCCTTCCTTTTCTTCTATGTCTTTTTCATTGATCTATATCTGCTGTAGTTTCCGGGGAGGCATTCTATCTGTTGTTTGCCCCACTGTAGCCATATGTTTCTGACCCGCAGGGGGCCTGGAGTGCCCTTGTCTCTTTTCCGATCTTATCCTCTTCCCTTTTCTCCTCCTTTTCTTCTATATTGTTCCTTACCCTTCCTTTTCTTCTATGTCTTTTTCATTGATCTATATCTGCTGTAGTTTTCCGGGGAGGCATTCTATCTGTTGTTTTCCCCACTGTAGCCATATGTTTCTGACCAGCAGGGAACCTGGAGTGCCCTTGTCTCTTTTCCGATCTTATCCTCTTCCCTTTTCTCCTCCTTTTCTTCTATATTGTTCCTTACCCTTCCTTTTCTTCTATGTCTTTTTCATGGATCTACATCTGCTTGTAGTTTCCGGGGAGGCATTCTATCTGTTGTTTTCCCTGCTGTAGCCATATGTTTCTGACCCGCAGGGAACCTGGAGTGCCTTTGTCTCTTTTCCGATCTTATCCTCTTCCCTTTTCTCCTCCTTTTCTTCTATATTTTTGCCTTACCCTTCCTTTTCTTCTATGTCTTTTTCATTGATCTATATCTGCTGTAGTTTCCGGGGAGGCATTCTATCTGTTGTTTTCCCTGCTGTAGCCATATGTTTCTGACCCGCAGGGAACCTGGAGTGCCCTTGTCTCTTTTCCGATCTTATCCTATTCCCTTTTCTCCTCCTGTTCTTCTATATTGTTACTTACCCTTCCCTCTCTTCTATGCCTTTTTCATTGATCTATATCTGCTGTAGTTTCCGGGGAGGCATTCTATCTGTTGTTTTCGCCACTGTAGCCAGATGTTTCTGACCCGCAGGGAACCTGGAGTGCCCTTGTCTCTTTTCCGACCTTATCCTCTTCCCTTTTCTCGTCCTTTTCTTCTATATTGTTCCTTACCCTTCCTGTTCTTCTATGTCTTTTTCATTGATCTATATCTGCTCTTGTTTCCGGGGAGGCATTCTATCTGTTGTTTTCCGCGCTGTAGCCATATGTTTCTGACCCGCAGGGAACCTGGAGTGCCCTTGTCTCTTTTCCGATCTTATCTCTTCCCTTTTCTCCTCCTTTTCTTCTATATTGTTCCTTACCCTTCCTTTTCTTCTATGTCTTTTTCATTGATCTATATCTGCTGTAGTTTCCGGGGAGGCATTCTATCTGTTGTTTTCCCTGCTGTAGCCATATGTTTCTGACCCGCATGGAACCTGGAGTGCCCTTGTCTCTTTTCCGACCTTATCCTCTTCCCTTTTCTCCTCCTTTTCTTCTATATAGTTCCTTACCCTTCCTTTTCTTCTATGTTTTCTTCATTGACCTATATCTGCTGCTGTTTCCGGGGAGGCATTCTATCTGCTGATTATCCGTTGTTTTCCCCACTGTAGCCATATGTTTCTGACCCGCAGGGAACCTGGAGTGCCCTTGTCTCTTTTCCGACCTTATCCTTTTCCCTTTTCTCCTCCTTTTCTTCTATATTGTTCCTTACCCTTCCTTTTCTTCTATGTCTTTTTCATGGATCTATTTGCTGTAGTTTCCCGGGAGGCATTCTATCTGTTGTTTTCCCCGCTGTAGCCATATGTTTCTGACCCGCAGGGAACCTGGAGTGCCCGTGTCTCTTTTCCGACCTTATCCTCTTCCCTTTTCTCCTCCTTTTCTTCTATATTGTTCCTTACCCTTCCTTTTCTTCTATGTCTTTTTCATTGATCTATATATATCTGCTGTAGTTTCCGGGGAGGCATTCTATCTGTTGTTTTCCCCACTGTAGCCAGATGTTTCTGACCCGCAGGGAACCTTGAGTGCCCTTGTCTCTTTTCCGACCTTATCCTCTTCCCTTTTCCCTTCCTTCTCTTCTATATTTATCCTTGCGCTTCCTTTTCTTTATGTCTTTTTCATTGATCTATATCTGCTGTAGTTTCCGGGGAGGCATTCTATCTGTTGTTTGCCCCACTGTAGCCATATGTTTCTGACCCGCAGGGAACCTGGAGTGCCCTTGTCTCTTTTCCGACCTTATCCTCTTCCCTTTTCTACTCCTTTTCTTCTATATTTTTTCCTTACCACTCCTTTTCTTCTATGTCTTTTTCATGGATCTATATCTGCTGTAGTTTCCCGGGAGGCATTCTATCTGTTGTTTTCCCCGCTGTAGCCATATGTTTCTGACCCGCAGGGAACCTGGAGTGCCCCTGTCTCTTTTCCGATCTTATCCTCTTCCCTTTTCTCCTCCTTTTCTTCTATATTGTTCCTTAATTACTCTTCCTTCTCTTCTATGTCTTTTTCATTAATCTATATCTGCTGTAGTTTTTTTTTTTTTTCCCGGGGAGGCATTCTTTATCGTTTGTTTTCGCCACTGTAAGCCATAATGTTTTCTGACCCGCAAAGGGAAACCTGGAGTGGCCCTTGTCTCTTTTCCCGATCTTATCCTCTTCCTTGTTCTCCCTCCTTTTTTCTTCTATAGTGTTTCTTACCCCTTCCTTTTCTTATTCTTTTTTCATTGATCCTATATCGGCTGTAAAAAAGTTTTCCGGGGAGCATTCTATCTGTTTTGTTTTTCCCTCTGTAACCAGAATTTTTTT